TTGAAAACTTACCAGGAAAGGAATCACTCCTGATGTTTTGAAAACACCAAGTGATATAGTAACAAATCCAATGATCCTTTCAACTAATAGTGTTACGAGTACAGAAATGTTTATGAAATTATTTGAATTTGGGATGATCAGGCCTATTTTTGTAGAAGAAGACAATATTTGGATATTTATTGACAAATTAAGAGGAAAATATTATTGAAAAATATCTGCATTTGTTATCTTCAGTTTTGTTTTATATCTACAGTAGATGCAACTATCTGGAGAAAAGTTTTCTGGGATTTTTACTCATCCATCATAATGAAAAAATATGGGAATCTACGGAAGACAGAAAGAAATTGCTTGTTTTCTTTTCGGGTATAAACTGAAGAATTCCAAACGCAGAAATGAGGGGGTTTATTAGTGAAATTTCACATACATGGAAAACAATCAGTCTCGGAGTGACAATACATTTATTATAGCCTTTATATCTGTCTTCTGCCCTAAGGTAACTCAAATTATTTTGTTATAATTAACGCATTTTCAGACTCTGAAAAAGGGATATTCACGTTTGAAATTTTTTTCTGTTAATTGAAATATGGAAAGATATGATCATTGGTGATTCATCTCTTCATAGTTGAATTGCCAGAGGATGTTTAAGACAAGCATGCATGTTCCCTCATTATTCAAACAACTGCTTCTCTTCCGAGATAAAAAGTTATAATGATGGGCGTGTATTATACAACAAACAAAACATGTACATATTACTGGCTCATTTTCTGAAAATTTCTTCAACATTGAATTTTCCATGTTTTGAAATATCATTGATGGAGAAAAGAAACACCAGAGGCTTCGAATTTTTTCATCAAACAAACATTGAATTATTATTCAAATTTCTATAACTCAATTCTGTTACAAACATTGTAATTAAAAACGTTTGTTTGAAGGTGATTGACAATGTTTCGTGATGAATTTCACTAGTTCGGACTTCCATTGTCTATTATATAAAATGATTTGAAATCCCTGAAACAAGTAAAAAAGAATAATTAAAAAA